ATAAATCTGACCAAAATAGCATACTATTTTTTTGAACAATGATAGTATATTCATATAGGTCCTGTTATAATATACAATTATTGCCTGCAGGGCAACTATATCTAACATGGTGTTCCACATGGTAGTATTGTTCCTTCGAGGAATATACGATAGGGAGATCTAATGTCGCCATATTTATTCCTTTTGTGTGCAAAAATGTCTCATGATCCTTCTTAACAAAGCTAAGGAGGATGATCGCATTCATGATGTAGCCGTAAACCATCAAAGCCAGAGTTTGCACCCTTACTTTTTGCCAATGACAGTGCCTTTTTCTTAAGAGTAAGGTGGAGGAATATCACATATTGAAAGAAATATTGAGGGTATACGAGAGAGTTGTAGATAGGGAAAAATGTCAAACCATCAAACAAGTGCCATATGACTCCACAAGGAGGCCCGTGTTGGTTATACTGGTCATGATGGAATGGACCTATAAGGAGCTGATGATGCAGAGTCACGAAACCTCAAATATAAGCAGAGTGAGAATTAGATTAAAACTCACTAGAAAATAGACTAAGGCATGTTTACATGATGCTGAATCTCCTAGTGCTAAAGTCATGCAGTGCTAGGTTTTATATAGTGCTAAACTTAAGTAACTAACCCGTGTAAAGTTAACAACGCATAAACTTTTTGCCAAACGAGCAGTCGAACTAGTAGGCAAAACTACAATAGAGCAGAGACGTTACGGTGCTACATGACATAATCCCTACACAAAGTTTATGCAGGGATATAAAAAGTGACCAATGAGACCATATATGTGATACTACTAGCACCACATAAATGATAAAATCTGCAAGAGTTGTTGAAAAGGATGTTGAGTCACTATCTGTTTGGCGGCCGTACAATAAAAAGATGTCAGAGTAGCTCGCGTAAACATAATAGTGCGTAAGCCCTCTAAAACCACGTAAATGAGGGTTTCTCTACCAATACAGATCCTTAGCCCACAACAAGAAGGAAAGACAAGTCTCCAAAATTTCCAAAATTTAAGAGAAGCCTCCAAAACTTCTATCTTTGTCTTTTTGCCTGAGGTTTGAGCTCTCCTCCTCCAAAGTATAGTTGGTCTTCATCTAGAGGGTTCCTTGGGATAACTTGCGCTCTTCTTGGTCCTTTGAGTTACATACCTTCTCTTCATTAGGGCTTTCTCATCAGTCTGTCACCTCTTTATTGAGATTCGTTCACTAGGGTTTTTAATTATTGAAGAGCTCTACCACTCCCTAAGGAGTTTTATCCCCTCAAAGGGTTATACGAAACAACCAAGAGCAACGTCTCCCTTAGTTGGACTTATCTTTATCTCACAAGAGGGTTTGCAAAAAAAAAAAACTCGTGTGGGGAAAGAATAACTTTTGGTCTTCATCAACCGAGATCACTCTTCCTCCAATACGCGAGCTACACAAAGGGGTGGCGTAAACACCTTCCACCTCATCATATAGTCAACAGAGATCCTCAGCTTATCTCTATTGGCACATAATCAAGACCCCTCAAACAAGAAATAAGGAGTATGTGGATCGGATTCCTTCTTTGCTCATTCAAAGCCAAGTCACGAAGGCCTCCATGATGATGTCTTCATCACCTGATTTGAGTAGAAATTAGATAGCACGCTTGGAGGAACCAGGGTTCTCCTCATAAGAGAACATTTGATGCAATATGACAAGGTTGCCTATGGGACTATCATTGAAAGTCTATTCATTGAGTTTGACTAAGAGGCATATAAGATGTTTTTCGAGGAAGGTAGCCATCGCTAAAGAGTAGCAGGGGAGAATCGAAAAATCTCGATCTCAAAACCTAACTCTACTTTATCCTAGGATAGTTTATGCAACCTAAGCCAATGTTGCATAATGATGAAGACATCATTGCAAGCTTAGCTAAGGATAGTTTACATGCTGCTAGGGTTTATGCACCATTAGACCAATACAGCGTAAAGTAAAGTAGCGAGTCAGAGATGGAGCAATAGCCATGATGATCTCTTTGCATAAACATCTAACTCCGCCTGAAGCTCTAACCTCGTGTGAATGAAGGAAAATGAGACGTTTGGATGCTAAACTTAGGCAAGATAGTATCAAATGCCTGTTATTTCTTCAAAATTTAGAGCCTAGTTCCCTCTGTGATCTGAGGAATCTTTTGGATGCGTGCAATCAATTGCATTCCAATAGCAGATCCTCTGCAACTGTATCATCTCAACTAAAGGTAGATGTCATTATTATTCATTCTGTTGTTCCTACTACTTCTATGTAAAGGGCAACTCTATGACATCACTTTGCTGCCTATAGGGGTTAGGCCTAAGAGGTTTTTGGTCTTTAAACAATTGTCTAGGGTTGTAAACTCTGATCTTCTAGTGAGGCACCAAAAGCACCATGAAAAGTCTTCTTGAGACAATGATCATCCAACAACTGGAAGTGTGAATCCAAATATTTTGAGAAAATGCAAGTCTCGCAAGAGAAGGACTAATTGATATAGAAATCTGATGGGAGTCACCATTAGCTTGTTGGGATGAATGAACAAGCTCTCTCACATTAATCCTAGGCATAAGGTGTCTAACGCTTGAGTACAAACTCAGGGAAGATGTGGGGTCAACACTAGAGTTGACTAACATCAAGAAAGAAGTGCCTCTACAAGAGGGAGGTCGAGACAATACAACATGTGGTGTCATAATAACTTACCTAGACATGGAAATATCTCAAGATGCTCTCGCAATTCAACATCGTTAACATATAATCCTTTGGAATCAGATGATGAGCAAATCCCAGAATTTGAAAGGCTATAAATTAGAAGTGATGGTCCTTATCGACATACTCAATCCAAAGTTGATTCCTTTCGATTATAGCTAAATCTAAATCATAATAAAAACCATCTATCTAGAAAGTGAGAACGGATCAGAAAGCGTTCATTTCAACGATGAACCAGGGTCAGCATATGCCTCTTCTAATACCGAGATCTCCATTTGATCTAAGGTGGCCAATATCAACATGATCAAAGGAGGAATGGAGAAGACGAGGTTGCAAAAATTATCATTCCCAATGAGAATATGATCCTACTGCCAAATAATAGCAAGGGTCCAATGCCGACTGAAAATAGCACTGGTAAATAGTAACTTTGGAAGACCTCTCACTAGAAATTCTTAGCACAAGAGAAAGGGTATCGGGCTATGCAAAACACCCTTAATGACCCTCATAATTTCGTTCAATAGTTGGTAACACTTCAAATGACAAACTTGTGTAGCAAAATCACCATGAAGGATATTGGGGTCTGTTTGTGGAAAATTTGCAGTAAAAAGACAATGAAAGAAAAATTGACTTGTATTCTCTCAAAATCGATTATAATTTGAATTCCGATTACAAAAGAGAGGAGAATGAATTTGATTCTCCCCTTTGTTTAAAACTGGGTTCTTCTTGGTAGCGATGGAGTACCTCCTTCGATTGCTTGCGTCGAACTTGCTCTCCGTTGACGATCCGATCATACTATCTCACAAGAATGGTTGACTTGTGTGATGAACTCGGTTTAAAACTCTTAATGAGTATAAGAAACTTAGAACGAGTTGGAAACTCTGACAAGAGTTGTTGAAAACCGAATAACTGGTTTGGTGTAATTAACTTGCGTTGCAAGCTTAATCACGAACTCTTAAATGAGTTTCAGAACTCAGAGTGAGTTGAAACTCTGTAACAGAGTTGTTAGAACCAAAGATTCGGTTAATAGCCAAGTTGATTTGCCGTTGATGAAGGGATCCCCTCAAATTTGATTTGCTAACTACTGAGTAGTTTGTTGATCTTCAGAGAGATCTCCTCCTCCGTGCAGTTTAGCTGCTGAGATTTACTAACCTTAAGCGGTTTTGGTGCCAGCACACGTCAACCCTTTACTCAATTGAGTAATTCCGTTATTTATAGGGGGATTAGGGGTATAACTAACCCCTAAATCCGCTCCTAAGTGGGCGAAAATCCCTCAGGACGTGGGATAACGGTTTTGAGGCCATTCGGCTTATGTTTGAACAAGTCAAACGCCTCATTTGGCGTTCTGGACCTTAACTCTGCGTCTAAGGCCTGAGACGCAGAGTTAAACCTTTGTCAAAGGTTTGAAACGCACAGGCCGCATGCGTTCTGGAATTGGAGACGCAAAGGTCGCTTGTGTGTTGAAATTCAACTCTACGTCAAGAGTTTGGGGCGCATAGTTGAGTCTGTTTGAAGAACGCACGTTATGTGTGCGTTTTAGGCTTTAACTCTGCGTTTGTAGAGTTAGATGCCTGCTGGAGAATGCACAGGAGGTGTGCGTTTTGGATTTGAGGAACGCAGAAGTGAATTCTTCGTTTTTAAGAGAGGTTGTTGACTTGTAACCTCATCCATTATAACATTGCAAAGGCTACTGCTTATTGATCTTTGCCTATTATAGGATGTAAAAGTCGTCAGATTATAACTCTCACTATTGATTGTGAAGGCCACTAAATAAAGTTTTCATCAGCTTTCGGAAGCATCGTTGAATTGTAACTATTCTCGATCTGTGTGAAAAGTCCTCTATTTGCGACCTTCGTTTGTCGGCACGAAAGCTATTTGACTGTAGCTTCCATTGTTGGAACTTGATGGGAATCAATCATCCATTATGATTTTTAGATGAATATTTGCCCACAGCTCTCTACCAAGCACCTCACCAACTAAGTCCAACTTTTTATTTCTGAAATCATTATACTGCTCATCAGCATCTCTAATAGTTGCTAATATAATATTAGTCATGTTGTTGTCGCAGCCATCAAGATCAATCATCTCAGAGATGAGGTCGTGTTTGTAGCGATTGTAGAGTTGCGGATGCAGTGATTAGAAAGTCGTCTGATTGTAACTTCCATTGACGGGGCTTAATAGGGATTAGCTATCCATTGTGATTTTTTGACAGCCTACAGAACTCCCTCCAAAGTTTTCGAAAGTTCGCGGTTGACTGGGACGAATTTTCGGAATACTTTGGATCCCAAAAATTTAGTTGATTGTTCACTTCGTCTGATTTGAGGACATTGTGAACCTAGTTGTTGGAATGCTGAAATCTTGTTTCCTCGAACCAAACAAGATAGCTTTTGAGTCTTGATAACAACGAATGTAGTCAAACAAACTAAAGCCCAAGTCATCGTCTAACTCGCCGCCAGGCTCGTCCTTTTTCCCTCTTTCCTTAGAGGCAAGAAAAGTAGCGTTCTCAGTAGATACAACAGAGATAACAGCAACAGCAAGGACGTTCTTATAGGCATTGACGAACATGTGAATCGCAGCTGCAAGAGTTGGGTAAGAGAGAGTGAAGGGTAGCGAAGCAACCATAGAAATACCATTTGCGAACTTGTCAGTGAGGTTGAGCAATTCTGGGCTTAAGACAGATCCATTGGCATAGACAGGGAGAATCGCAAGTCCACATGGGAGGGGCTTTATCCTAAATGTGGTTAGGAGGACAGCCTCAGAAGATTCTTACTCTATTTCTTTTCTTGATCAGCTCAACTTACTCTTTGTTAGGATGTTAAGCCACTTAGAAGAATGGTTTGCGCGCTGGGCCGAATCGGCTTTCGTGTTACTGATTATAATCTGCCTGTACCCATCCAATAGACTCCACAGTGGAGTTGTCTGTTTCTTCTCGGCTTTTGGTCATCTTGATAGCTGACATTAATCCCTCTCTATTTATTTGGAACCATGTTTTGGCTTTAGAACCATGTTTTGGCTTTAAATATTGAAGAATTCGTTCGGTTGAGTCAGAACGCACAGGTAAATTCTCTGTGTCCAAAGGATTTGAAACGCAGAGTTGAATTCTGCGTTCAGAAGCTCAATCAATACAGACGCAGAAGTGGATTCTCTGTGCTGAAGCCTTAAAACGCAGAGTTGAACTCTGCGTTCAGAAGTTCAAGCAACGCAGACGCACAGGCCGCATTTGGCGGGATTCTGGGCCTAGAATCTCGCCCTGATTTGACAGCTCATAGCTGTCTATAAATAGACCGCTGGGTCAAATCAAAAGTCATCCGACTTTTCAACAGTCTTTTCTCGAAAAGCTTAACGAAGATTTCGTTTTGAACTCCAATGAACCCTATTCATCTTCCCCGATCATCATCCTCAATGGGCCCAAGAAAGAAGACCGTCATTCGTCAAAGGTCAGCTGCTGCCGCGGCTCTGCGTTCTCGGTCGACCTCGGCAGTCGGCGGTGATGGAACTCAGGTTAGTGCGCCGTCGGCATAGGCTTCCCTCGTTGGTGGTAAGTATCGACCTTCATGGCCACAAAACTTGCTTCGGCGAGTTCTTTGAAAACCCTAGATGGGTTCTTGTGAACGAGGAAGATGACTCGTTTTTTGATATTGTAACGCAGAGTTAGAACTTTGCATTTCGAATTTGAAACGTCGGGGTCCGACTTCTGCGTTTGGTGAAATCTAGCGCCAGGTTTGACCTATGCGTTCGAAAGCTTAACGCTGAGTTCGACCTCTGCGTTGATAAAATTCAACGCCAGGTTTGAACTGTGCGTTCGAAAGCTTAACGCTGAGTTCGACCTCTGCGTTGATAAAGCTCAACTGTGCGTTTGAACTATGCGTTTGAAATCTTAATGCTGAGTTTGACCTCTGCGTTGATAAAATTTAATGCCAGGTTTGAACTGTGCGTTCGAAATCTCTCAATCCTCTAGGGATTTTGATTAAAATTCCCTTTTGTTTTATTTCCTCATTGACTAATTGAGTACTTTTCTCTTTTTGAAGTGCCTTGCTCCCGCGAACCTCTTACCTTCGTCACCATTTCGGGCGCGAGGGTGGCATAGATTCCAATATGCAATTCAATCTGCGTCAGGAACTCCCAATATTTTAGGATGCAGACAAGGATCGTATTACCCTGATCTCGAATCCAAGCCTAACTGTACTCAGGATTTTGGTGACAGACGCCAAATTCGAAACTAACTCTTGTAAAAAACTTACCAAACCAGCATTCCTATTTGACGATCATGTCGTCATCCAAAAAGAAATCGTGACTGACGGCCACTATAAGTGGTTGAGGTAAATAGGAGATCGACGCTTCTTTCTCCCTGATATGCATAGGATGTTTCCTATCGCTTACTATCAGTGTGCTTCCGTCCCTCGACATATGGATTGGGACCTTGTCCGGGAGCAAGATTGGGTAGCTATCGGGGCTTTGACCTACACAGGCGTACACACTGTAGGTTACAATCGACAAGTGTCCGCTTTGGAACCCTGCTTGTTCTCACGGGGGTATCCTTTAGGAGAAACAGCTAGTACAGCCAACACTTTTATGCGGAGATTTCTAGCCGCGAAAGGAGAATTCCCTTCCTCAGTATTTAGAGCTCCTGGATGGGTACATTCTACCGAGACAGGATGGTGGACACGAATGACGGACTTCGTGGTAACAGAGTTAGAGGGATCTTTAGCTCAATTTGGACTTGGTTGTCCTGTAATAGCTACCAGATGTGGTGTTGACTACAACTATTACAATTTTTTCGCTGTTCTGGAGAACTATAACCCGGAGACGTGTACATTCTTCACACCAGTGGCGGAATTAGGGTTTGCCCTCCATGAAATGTATGACGTTTCGGGTCTTCCTTTTGGAGACTTGCCCTATGAGGAGTTCGTCCCAGGATCAAACGAGCTTAGGATTTTGAAGGAGAAGCATCCTGACGTCTATGACACTCTATGGGAGGTGATGTGTCATTTTCAAATCTGCGCTCAATTGACAGGGGCCCGAGGACGTGGTATAAAGCAGCTATCCTGGGCTGATTATCTATTCCAGAATTTATCCCACAAAACTACTGATGTGTCTCGTCGGAACGTGAGTGCCCCTGAGACAATCCAAACTCTGATTAACGATGCTACGGCCCATTATGTCAACGAGGGATTGGAAGAGGATTTCCCTGCACAGACTGAGTTTGAAAGTTTCCATCACCAGGCTGCTGTGCCTATTTCTAACAGGGCCTTGTTGGCCGGCTTCCTCATGTTGTGGCTCAAGCGATGTGTCATCCCTACGAGGCCCATAGATGCTGTGATGGTAGAGGTAGTCTACCCGGCTGTCCTCTTAGCTTACGGGAGACCTGTGAACTTGCTTTTAGCTATGACTTGCTGTTTGCAGCATGGTTTGAGGGAGTTGTGCCTCGAATTCATTCAGGTGAAGGAGGTAGATTCTGAAGGAAAGAAGAGTTTGGTGACACCAAATCCTCAAGTTCCCCTGCCATATACCTATTTGATGGCATGGTACGTATCTCATTGCCCTCTTTTGATGAGTGCCCCATCTCCATCGGACGAGGGGTTCATCCCTTTTGTGCAGTGATTGGAATGAGCTTCTTGGGAAGGCACATATGTAGTGAGGGTCCGTCAGATCTTGTCGAGAGACCTCAATTATCAACTATTCCGCTGTTTCCCAGACTTTGAAGGCGATGACTATGGGCAAGTGTTCCAAGATACGGCTAGTCCAGATGGTTTTACCCGCTTAGATGGAGGGGTCTTCCACTGGCTCTTGAACATTAGACCAGGTTATCTCCTCTTTAGGCAAAATGACAAATGCATAATCAAGCCGTATCAGCCATATCGGTTTGCTCGCCAGTTCGGGTACGACCAATTATATGTTGGGAATCCCCGGAGTCAGCTTGCAATTATTGGTAACATATACGAAGGAGCTAGGGCCTGGTACTACTCTACTGCAGGCTGCACTAGAGCTACCTTTAGGTTACCTCACAAGACGCCCAATTCTCTTTCATCTATAGCTTTTTGTAACTGGTATCATACAGCTTCTAAGATACCTGATTACAGGTTGAATTTGTCGGGGCTACGGGAAATTAGGAGGATGTACTCGTCCAGAAGAGGATCCCGGGTATCTCGTCTGAAGGGAATCAATGAGTTCTTATCCTTCGAAGATGAGACTGAAGGAGGAGAAGGAGAAGGAGATCTGGGACCGGAGAATGCTCCAATAGCGAGCCCTAAGGCTGCTGACACTCCAAGAACCAAGGCAACTAGAAAGAGGGTTCTTACCGAAGCAGAAGAAGTTCAGTACAAGAAACGTACTCGCAGGAAACTGCTAGTAGACCTCCTGCTGAGAAGTTGATGGCGGATGCTTTTAAATCTGCCGGTGGAGGGGAAGAGCAAGAACCAGCTGCTGCAAGTCATCCTGATCACACAGGTCCTCATTCTGGGGGTTTTACATTTTCCGAAAAAATTTCTTCCCACTATCCTTTGGACCCGGAAGAGGGTGGAGATGAATCCCTGATTAGGGATATGGAGGCTTCTCCTGATATTTCACCATTTCCAGAGCAAATCCCTGGTGCTTCTCTTTCATCTGCGGCTTCTCCTGATATTTCACCATTTCCAGAGCAAATCCCTGGTGCTTCTCTTTCATCTGCGGGGACATTACCTATGATGTCTCCCTCTAAAGGTGGTGCTTCTCTTTCATCTGCGGGGACATTACCTATGATGTCTCCCTCTAAAGGGGTTAGATCGCCCACGGGTGAACTGTTAGTAAATAAAGCTGCAAATTTTAACGAGAACCAGTCTCCTACTTCTTCTGCCTTATTGCCACCCTTGGAGGCTGTTATTCCTAGCCCTACGACTGGTATAATGGCCAAAGCAGATATGATTGTGAGTTCTCCCGGTCTCTCGACTGTAGATGATGAGGAACTGTTAGATTATGGAACCTCTTCTCATAACGAAGATGCTGATGAGGAGGATGGCGATGGTGACAATGATTCTGCTGGTTGGGCTAATCCGCCACCACCCTCTTCTGACAAGGCGTCCGGTTATCTTCCTTTTTACCCCTCTGGTAGAAATTACACACTCTGATTTCTCTGGTGTTTCTTTCTTTTATACTGACTATTCTTTTGTGTAGGTTCTCCAACTCGTGAGGCTGCCGATACGTCATCGTCTCTTCACCCACAAGCAGCAGACATTCCTCCCTCTGAACCGATGCCTGTGACGACAAGCTCCTTGCCAGAAGAACCTCTTTCGCTAACGATTCCCCTCAAATCGATAGGGACTAAGAATATGCCAGGCTCAGCCCAAACAGGAGCACTCATGGTCCTTCCTTCTAGTCCTTCTCAACTGGACATCACGATGGCTTCTCCGGCTTCTTCACGGTCGTCGCCTACCGTTCTTGCATCAGGATCTACGATTTTGGGCTCCCCAATAACATCTCCTGTGAAGTCTCTAAGTCCAGTGGTCATCCCTTCCATTCTAAAAGTTCTTATACGACCGTTGGAAGATATGATGAAGATAGCGATTGAGGAGGTCAGTGCCGGACGAGCTTCATTTGATTCTTTCAAGCCAATACTCATGAACTCCCTGAATAGCATCCACTATGTGGATGATGCTCGATGGTTCCAGCACTGCTCCGAGATTATCTCTTGGTTGGAAAAAGATCTGAGGGCTTTAGAGGAATTACATCATGCTGATCTTACTGCCCAAACAACACTAGTTTTTGACAGTCTCAAGGCTGACGCCAACCGTCAGTATGAAACTCTTCAGGAAAATATTACTGAACGGGAGCTTGAGATTGCATCTTTACAAGGGCAATGCATTCATAAACAGCACGCTGTGGATGCTTCTAATGCTGCCATACAGACATCTCGTGCAAAAATTAATCGTCTCAAGGTGGAGTTGGCTCGACACGAGGCTGAGCTCGCGC